GGTGTGACCACACCACTTTTCCCAGAGGAAGCTTTTCTTGGTGATATTTACAGCAGGAAACAGGTACAGACAGACAAACAGGTGCTCTCAAAAGCCTACGCACAGGTAACACTTCTGGTTTTAGTTTTACTTTTTAAAAAGACACATTCAGATGGGGTTGTGACTAGTGTTGAAGAGCGGGGTGATTTCAAAGCTGCTGTCCCAGGCATGGTTGTGGAAGAGCAGGCAGGACAAGGAGAGCGCTAGCTCACGAAACACTGCCGGCAGTCCCTGGAGCTTACACTAGCACAGTGGGTGGCTAGTGGAGCGGGAAGCAGGGGAGGCCACTCAGCAGAGTCAGACAGCAACTCCCATTTCAAAGCAGAGACTCTCCTAAGCAGCAGCTGCCTTGATCTAGGGCTCAGACTTGTTTTGGAAACCTCACAAACACGTGTGGGTAACTGCAGATTGAGCGTTGTGAAAAACACAAAACAGAACTCAAACTCCTATAGCTCAGAGGCTCTCAAATACTTCCAAATCTGGTGGTACTTTTCCATTAGGAAGTCTGAGTATTGATGAAATCCTGCTTGCAGACTGTACCTTCCACCTTCCATCTACAGGGAGGAGAGAAAACACACACAGTGGAATGCTTCGAAGGTCTTGCAGAAAGTACTCAGTGCTGCTACAGCAGTAGCCCAAACTACAGCATTAGAAGTACTACAGCGGCAGCCAAACACTGCATTAAACCCAACGTGTCTGTGCTAAGCTTGATTCTCCTGTCACATTTCTCCATCCCTTTGCTGCTGGAGTAAACAAATTAATTTCCCTGGACTTGCACCAGCATGAGCAAGAGTGAATTAGGACAGTCTGAAGGTTTGCGTGACACAGCTGTCTAGACCTCAAATAGCACTTTGCTCTTTTCCACCTTCCAGCAGAGCCACTTTATTTTTTGGCCACTGAGTATTGGACACCTACTGCAGAATTCTCTTTATTGGTTTTCTCTCCCGCCCGCCCCTCCGCCCCTGCCTCCTTTTTTAATATAGAAGGATATGAATTCAGCAACAAAATGCCACTGGTTCATTTCGGTCGATCTTATCTCTGTGGCAGCTTCTTGCCTGATCCTACAACCTGAAAGATCATGCTAGGCTCATGGTCAGAATCACTGCTGCCAACAGTTGATGATTTTTCTTTGGGCTGATCCCTCATGGTGAGCTGCTGTGTACATTTTGCCCTTCATTAGGCTGTCACTAACATACTCATTCTAGCCTGCTCCCTGTCAACAACTAGTTTATATGCAAGGGTATCTTCTCAGCACTACAGGTATACTGCGTCTGTGGGTTTACTCACATGTGGGAGGGCTGTGGGAGCGGACAATACAAGAGATCAGATGAGGTGTAGACGTGCTTTAAAGTGCTTGTTATCCTTCTAGACCAACCTTCAAAGGAAAAAAAAAAATCCATATTTTGAAGTAAAGTCTGAAGGGCTCAGCTACAAAATAGAATTTAGAGCAAACTGTTTCACTAGAACATGGAATAAAATGATTTGGTATCTCTCCAACTGACCTGACAGAAGATGCTGTATCCAGCAGGCTAGAAGACATCAAGGGTTATCTATGGTTGCTTCTCTGTCCAAAGCTCAAGGCCAGAATTAGCCTTTGCAAGGTCAGGGAAAGGGAGCCAGCTTGCCCTGAGAAACTTTTGTGCCTCAGGTATCTTGGCACTTTAGTTAATTTGCCTCCATCCTCCATCCAGCATTGAGATGGGAATCTCAAGGAAGCCTCCTTACTTCTGTTTTACATTCTTGTAGCTTTCCCAATCAATTATTAAAGCGGCAAATCTCTCTTGCAGGAACTTCTTAGGCATTGTTATAAATATTTTATCCAAAAAAATTATTTCATCAAGTACCTTAAGGTGTTTGTTGTTGTCAGTTTGTGTTAAATGCCAAGTAAAATCTAATTTATTTATTTTAACAAACACACACACACAACTCTTCCGTGCCTCATCGTGCTCTGGGAGAAAAATAAGCAAATGAGCATTGCTGTTCCTTTCAGATAGTGAAGTAACATCTGAGAAGGAAGAGCAGTGCCATTGCCCCTTGGATACCTTCACTTTTACCTCAGCAGTGAGTAAAACTAAAATGGCAGCCTGGACAACAGTGGATGCCACATGTCAGCTTTCCCAGGAAGCTATGGGCAAGTCGGATGAGATCCCGGCTACCACAAATGTGGCAGGGTGCCACCTTGGGTGGATCAAGTGGCAAATTAGGTAAGCCATATTTCTCAGCCAGCTGGAGGGCTAGGGGCTGAGCCCTGTCTGGGTCCATATCCTGCAGAAAGGGTGAATACCTCTCTGTGGGTCTGGCTCTGAATGCGGAGAGTCCTTGGTGCCCTGGGGACTCAGCAGAAGAAAGCTTCTCTGGTATGGAGGGAGCCAGGGCTTTCGCCCAGGACAGGGCTTTCGCCATCTGTCCTGCATCAAGTTTTCAGTCTCCTGCTTCCATAGGTCTCCCTGTGGCTGAGCCTGTTGGTTCCTGGTCAAAACATCTGCTATTACAGCAGCAGTCTAATGTCCTGCGCCACATAGCTAAGCAGTCAGCTAAGACAGACCTGTTGGCACATCTGGGTATATGGGTCAAGCTCAGAAGTTAAGAGGAGCTGGAGGTGAGCAGCCTTTCTGCCCTGGAGGGCTAGCCAAGCACAGGGGACCCTTCACTCCCGCCCCTCTCTGCTTTCCTAACCTTGGCTGGGCTTGTGCCCAGGACAAATATCTAAGTTCGTTCCTCTAAGTGTTTCAGCAGAGCCAGATGGCATCCAAACAGCACTGACGCAGGCCAGGCCCTGATGCAAACTGTGGTTTTGGCCACTGGTAATGGCCCCAGAGACGAGCATGGTGGAACATCGGTTAAGAAAATTGCTGTTTTCTTTTACCCTAAAAGGTCAAAAAAATCTGTCCTGCATCTATCTGTCATTGTCCTCCTTTCCCTGACATTTTGCACATCCACACACTGCCAACAACCCTTCTCTCTCCTTACCCAGTAGCTGTGTCATCAGCACCTGGTGCCCATGTTTCAGCCTCACATGGGAAGGAAGAACATTTCTTTCTTTCCCTCTTAAATTAAAATAAGAATAAAGGCCCTAAAAGGCATTTTGTCCTATTTTTAAAATCCTAAAGTTGATCTTCTTAAGCCTCGAAGGAAGATAGAGCAAATGAGTGAGACCAAAGCCTTTAAGCTAATTAATACCTTCCCCTCCCTATTTCTCAGAGTTTTTTCTTTTCTAAAAACACAGCCATAGCCCATTTTTAATGCCTTCTTCCTGCACATCAATGTCCCCAATAAAGCAGAGGAGCTGAGCTGTCATCTCTGTCTCAGGATCTTCCCCTCCCCTCGCTTTGAAACTGTGATAGAGAGGGAGGGAGAAGAAGAGGCCTTGGAGCCTGGTGTGTGTGGCGCTTTCCTACAGGAAGGGCTGACAGGGCGAGGGTATAGCCAGGCGAGGGATGTAGCTGGGACCTCACGTGGGTGGTCTCCAAAAAGCCCCTTCCCTCTAACACAGGAGGAAGAGGCCAAGTGAAGGGCTCATCCATCCCACAAGGTGAACATAACACTTGGCTTTTCTTTGAGAATATAAAAAATCAGGTGGGAAGGAAACACAAACCAGCTACAAGGGGGAAAGCAGAGGAGGGTGTCTTTCATGCCAGAGAAGACCATCCTCGTGTGTGTGTGTGTATGTGTGTGTGTGTGTTTGGGTGGGAGGGCCCCTCTTGGTGCCATCTCTTTGGAAAAGTGCCCATCCATCCCAGGAAGGTCCCTGGGTTTAATGTCTCTCTTCTGCTCCCTCAGAACTGCTTGGTGTTTCCTTTAGTAAGCATGCGCCATACATACTCTACCATATAGGTGTATTTACATGTGATGAGGTCTGCTAGGTCTCAGCAGAGGTGTCTTGGTACAATGCTCCAATATAACAACAGAAACAGTTTTTGTGTTCATAGTGAGGCCTTCCTTGTGTTGTACTGCAGCTTAGGACAGTCTCTCCTCCTCTCATGCTCTCAGTGCACTCCCTCGCTCCAAACCAGCTGCTGCAGGAAGGAGATAATATTGAAGAGCAATGAAGAGAAAGCATGGCAAGTGGTACAAATTCTCAGCTCCAGCTTAGCAGGCAGCAGCAGCAGTGGCAGGGGGAACTCCAGCCCCAGAAGTGACCCGAAGTTGGACCTTGGCACAGGTGGGTCTGTCTCTCTCCGAGGCTGCTGAAGTTTTGGGGTGGGTATAAACCTATGACCAGGTAAATACAAGGCAGGGGAAAGGGGTCAAGGAGTAGCAAACGGAAGACACAGTGCCTAGAAAGCAGCAGGTCATCAAGCCTCTCAGGAACAGGGCAGCAAAGTGCTACATGGGGACGGCATGAGCGCAGGAGGCCAGTTGGGCTGGTAGGGTGTGAGGATGTGTGAGCATGTAGGTCAGCAGTTTCTACAGATGGCTCCTCACAATTAGCATCATCTTGAGGGGAGACAGGGTAAGAGTTAGGTTGGTCGGCAATTTTTTTTTCTTTTCTTCTTCTTTTACTAAAAAATAAATCACAAACTAGATCTCTGTAGGCAGAAAGGGTGCCAGGGAGGCGGTGAGGAAGGGAAGGGGGGAAGTCTGTGCTGTTTTGGTGCTGGTGGTGTGGCTCCACGAGGCTGCGTGAGCCACTGGAGTACCTGCGCCTCTGAAGCAGGGAGTTGGGGGGGCAATACTGGTGTGGGTGATTGTAAGGAGGTGGTGGAGGTGGGAGGGGAGGCTGATGGACTAGCTTCATGGGGGTCCCGGGAAGCCCACTGCCTGCGCTGCGCCAGGGGGTGGAGCTGCAGGAATCGGAGGTGACATAGCGTGTCAGAGTCTGGTTGAGGGCTGGCTCCATTCGAGCGAGGCACGGCTTGTCCAAGACAATGACTTTGACAATCTGCTGGCACTGTACAAGTGTCCCCGCCGAGGCGGGGTGCGAGGCCACCAGTGCTGTCTCCAGCCGCTCCCGTGGCGTATTAAGACGCGTGCTGGGCTGCATTCCACTCTCGGGCCCCAGGGCGGAGTTGTGCTGGTACGTTTGAAGCCTGTTGTGAATTGACACCTAGTTTAGAAACAGTCAAAGAAGCATTAAATGTTACAAGACATTTTTCCCATCTGCTGCTACTGGCTGCCCTGAACCCTCCCCACCAGTAAATCTCACATGCACTAAACCCTCCCTCGTCAAAAAAAAAGAACAGGCACAACCTCTGGCGGCTTCCCCCCTTCCAACAGCCCCACCATCCCCATCTAGGCCTAAGTGCCCGTGTCCTTTCCATCACGTCAAAGGCAGCAGGGCCATCGTTCCCAAATGCAATGCAACTTTGATTATCCAAACAGTACAGGGAACACGAATCAGCTCTGCAAGCGGAGGAGTGAATTCTCATGGTAATGAACAGACCTCAAAGGTCATGCCCTTGTCCCCAGCAGCAGAAAGGAGGGGGAACTGGATAGCAAGGTTTCAGATAATCGAGGTTGTACATTTCAGTAAAATGATGGTAGCTGAATCTGAGATAGACAGAGACAGAGAGACTCGAGCCCTTCCCAGTCCCCTGCCTTTCTGAGTAGGAAGGTACACCACATGACCAGCTAATCTGTTTACAAAGGAAAAGGCAGAAATCTGACATACTCTAGCAAAAGGCAGCTCCCTCTGATCCATTTGACGGTTTGTCAGTGAAAGGAAATGATTTTCAAAAAAGAAAAAAGAAAGAAAAAAATGCCCATCTAGCTCATACAATGATAAAAGAAATTCATGATGAAATGGTAGCAGATTAGATAATATCAAAGAAATGGAAATGCTTTTCTGCTGGCGGAGTATTACTTGGGCAATTGGAACATGGAAGGGAAGGAGCAGGTCATCAGGGTCCCCGCAAAGAGATGCCGATAATAGAGTCACCGAAATAAGGGAGCTTGCTGAGTCCAGTGTGTAAAAGGGGAGCTGGCCTGGACTGGAGGTCCCCTGGGGGCATGCGCAGCAGGAAAATGGTAGGTGAAGTCATAGTTCCTCCTGGCAAGGACATGAGCTGATGGAGACCCCAAAGCAGAGCAAGATTACTGGCTCAAAACAGAATGTCAGTCAAGTGACAAATCCTACACGGGAAACGAGTGTTTGCAGGCGGGCAGGACACTACCAGCTAGGCAGGTGTACATGGGACAATTGTGGGTGCCCTGATAGAATGCACATTGGTCAGTGGAGCCAGTGACTGGGAAGAGTGGCAGCGGCAGTGGGAAAGAGCAGTTGTGGAGTGGCCAAACTTCCCGCAAGGATGGGACAAGGATGAGCTGTTTGTACCTACTCAAGCATAGAAGTTGCTCAGGCTCACTGCACAGCAGGGCATAACGCTGTGTCAATATTTGTTCAAGCAGTGGATCACCACTAGGAAAAACTGGTCACTGGGCCATGAAGTAAGTGCTAATGACATTACGTGGAAGCCATTCCCCAAAATGTAACAGTCATCCCAGC